AGTCACATGGACGACGTCCAAGCAGAGTTGGAGACACATAGGGTATCCTCCTTTAGTAGACAAGTGTCACTGCCTGGGCAGGAAGTACTCCAAGTTTCTTTCTGCGCGGTTGGACTGTCTACAACACAATTCCTTCTACAGTCGTGTGTCCTCCTGTCTGCTATGGATGCCGTGACCAAGCCATATAACATACACACTAAATTTCTGTTTGTAATCCAGACAACTGAAACAAAGCCAAGTGTGAACCCAGGTCTGAACTTATAAGAACGTAAAAGTGAAGGAGTATCCTTGGATCGAGTGGTGACTCCTAATTGTGTGTGACTCTTGGTTTAGTAAATCGACTTCGTTCTGACACTACAACACGGGAGACGACTGACTGACGAAAGAACAGAGTCATATACACTGACATTATTGTTTCGAGTCGTGTAAGCCGGTTGTTTGACAAGGTCATTTTTTTTTAGATTTATTGGTCTCTCGTTAAATACTAATTTTGTCTTCAGTAGTACATCAGAAATCACTAACATAAATTACAATTATTTTGTACTGACAAGGTTGTAAATCATTTGGTTAACTGATGTGATGTGACCCATATATTATACGAATTTGATTGTTCTCGTGGACTAAACTCGAACAGTCAACATTTTTTCATTTAATTTGAATAAGATTGGGGTTTGGTTCTTCTGACAAAAACACGGATACATGTATTACGGCTGAGTTTTTATATCAGTCACGTGTGTTGAAAGAGTCACCTCCATGAGTCTACTCATCGGACCATCAGTGACAAACATGCAGGTTGGAGACCGATGGGAAGTTTCAGGGTCTTCGGGAGACATACGCTTAGTCCGTACCTTGCTGACACTAGTCGAAAAATCGCGTCACGACGACATGTTTGCATGTCGTCACAGTACAGTGTGCCCTGGCTGAGACAGATGAAGACTTATGCACCATGCGTTTACGCGAAACAGTGGACGTGAATGCTAAAGTCTAACAATATTAATACACTAATAGTTTATATAATCAGACGTAAATATACGCCAACAGTTGAATGGGGCCTAGGTCTCAGGTTTAAAACACAGTCTCGATATTTTCCTTTGTGGTTTACAGTACTGTTAATCAATTACAAACCAATGTAGAATGTAACAAAATAGTATCTCTAAGCGAGGGTTATACGTCAAAATGTAGTGTGTGGTGTGTGTGTGTGTGTGTGTGTGTGGTGTGTGTGTCGGTGTGTGTGTTGTGTGTGTGTGTGTGTGTGTGTGTGTGTGTGTGTTGTGTGTGTGTGTGTGTGTGTGTGTGTGTGTGTGTGTGTGTGTGTGTGTGTGTGTCGTGTGTTGTGTGTATGTTGTTGTGGTGTGTGTGTGTTGTTGTGTGTGTGTGTGTGTGTGTGTGTGTGTGTGTGTGTGTGTGTGTGGAGGTAGAGTGTAAAGAGTGTGTGTGTGAGTGGGACTTTGTCGCGCCACAACGTCTGCTGTGTCCACTCCAGGGGAGTAGAAATAATACTCACTTCAGAGGGAGGGTCACTTTCGTGACACCACTCATTATTTACAATATCAACTTGAAATTTACACAAGAAGTTAAATCACTACTCAGTTGACATACACAAAGGTTCACAAGAATAGCCAGAGATGGAGAGTACAACGAGAACGAGAGACCCAGTG